TGATGAATGAGGAACCAGACAGGAAGAGGCACCAGGTCAATTTGTGGCTCCAGGACTGGTGCTATTGGCAGGGCTTTGGGTTTTTCAATCATAGGCTGCTGTATGAGATACCTGGCCTACTGGTGGCAGGTGGGAGGCACCTGTCCCAGAGGGGGAAAAGAATTTTGGGGTAGGAGTCAGCAGGGCTCATCGACATGGCTTTAAACTAGATAGGAGGGGGGAGGGGAGATAACTGGGACTGAGAGGATTAAACCCGAGGGAAGCATGCCAGGGCTTGAGGAACGGAAGAATAGTGATGACTCTTGCTCTCTCCTCTGGGTTGATTTACAGGATACCAGGTCTGCTTGTGACGAGGGGGGAAAGCCTACTATTATTGCTAGCATAGCCTTGCAGTCCCTTGTCTCAGTGGCAGTGGGGGATGGTGATTCATACGGTAGCGAAGTCACAGGAAGTAGTAATAGGGTGGCAACTACAGAAGGGACTGAGCACGGTCGGGTAGGAAATAGGGCTCATCCCCCCAAAAAAGTGGCAGGACAACTAACCCAGCTGAAGTGCTTGTACACAAATGCACGCAACATGAGCAACAAACAGGAGGAGCTGGAGGCCATTGTGCGGCAGGAAAGCTATGATGTAGTTGCCATCACGGAAACATGGTGGGAAGAATCGCATGACTGGAGTGCTGCGATTGATGGATACAAGCTCTTCAGAAGGGATAGGCAAGGAAGAAGAGGAGGAGGGATGGCCCTGTATGTTAGAGAGGATTATGAATGTCTAGAACTTATTGAGGACAATAGTAGAGTTGAGTGCTTATGGGTAAGAATCACGGGAAGGGCCAGTCAGGCTGATATTGTGGTGGGAGTCTGTCACAGACCACCCAACCAGGATGCAGAGGTAGATGAAATGTTCTATAAGCAGCTGGCAGAGGTCTCAAGATCACTTGCCCTTGTCCTGGCGGGAGACTTCAACCTCCCAGATATCAGGTGGGAACACAATACAGATGAGAGGGAACGGTCTAGAAAGTTCCTGGAGTGTGTTGGGGATAACTTCGTGACACAGCTGGTGAGAGAGCCGACTGGGGAAGGAGCATTTCTGGATCTGGTGTTTGCAAATAGAGAAGGACTTGTGGGGGACATGATGGTTGGAGGCTGTCTGGGGCAAAGTGACCATGAAATGATAAAGTTTTTGATTTTTAGGGAGGCGGGAAGGGAAACCAGCAGGACTGCCATCATGGACTTCCGGAGGGCAGACTTTGGTCTTTTTAAGAGTCTGCTTGACAGAGTCCCTTGGGGGGCAGCCCTGAAGGGCAAAGGAGTCCAGGAAGGCTGGACATTTTTCAAGGAGGAAGTCTTAAAAGCGCAGGCACAGTAAAGCAAGTTGTCAGAGGCCTGGATAAACAAAGAGATAGTGTCACAGCTCAGGGAAAAAAAGAGAGTTTATGGCCTTTGGAAAAAAGGGCAGGCCACTCAGGAAGATTATAAAAGTGTAGCAAAGTTATGCAGGGAAAAGATTAGAAAGGCCAAAGCCCACCTAGAACTGAACCTGGCCTTGGATGTTAAAAACAACAAAAAGAAATTCTATATATATATTAGCAGGAAGAGGAGAACTTGGGACAGCCAAGTTCCACTATTGGATATGGGAGGCAATGTAGTGACAAAGGATGAGGAGAAGGCTGAGGTACTGAATGCCTTTTTTGCCTCAGTCTTCAGTAATAGAGTAGGGTGTCTTCTGAGTACCCAGACCCCTGAGCCAGCAGATAAGGGCAGGGAGCAGAATGAAGCCCCTGTAATCCAAAGAGAAGAAGTGAGGGACCTGCTCCAGCACCTAGACACAAACAAGTCTATGGGCCCAGATGGGATCCACCCGAGGGTACTGAGGGAGCTGGCAGATCTGCTTGCGGAGCCACTCTCCATCATTTACCAGCAGTCCTGGCAAACTGGGGAGGTTCCAGCCGACTGGCCTCTAACAAATGTGACGCCCATCCACAAGAAGGGTCGGAAGGATGATCCAGGGAACTACAGGCCTGTCAGTCTGACCTCGGTGCCTGGGAAAGCCATGGAACAGATCATCCTGAGTGCCATTATGCAGCGCATGAAGGACGCTCAGGTGATCAGGCCCAGCCAGCACGGGTTCACGAGGGGCAGGTCCTGTTTGACAAACTTGATCTCCTTCTATAACAAAGTGACCCGCTTGCTGGATGAAGGAAAGGCTGTGGATGTTGTTTACCTGGACTTTAGCAAGGCCTTTGACACAGTCTCCCACAGTATTTTCCTGGAGAAACCGGCTGCTCATACCTTAGATGGGTATACTCTTCACTGGGTTAAAAACTGGCTGGAGGGCCAGGCCCAGAGAGTAGTGGTAAATGGAATTAAATCCATTTGACAGCCGGTCATGAGTGGTGTCCCACAGGGCTCGGTACTGGGACCTGTTCTCTTTAATATCTTTATCAATGATCTGGACGAGGGGATTGAGTGCACCCTGAGTAAATTTGCAGATGACACCAAGCTGGCTGGCAGTGTCGAACTGCTGGAGGGCAGAGAGGCTTTGCAGAGGGATCTGGACAGGCTGGATCGATGGGCTGAGACCAACAGGATGAGTTTCAATAAGGCCAAGTGCCGGGTCCTGCACTTGGGTCACAACAACCCCAGGCAGCACTACAGGCTTGGGGAGCTGCCTGGGGGGTGCTGGTTGACAGCAGGCTGAACATGAGCCAGCAGTGTGCCCAGGTGGCCAAGAAGGCCAATGGTCTCCTGGCCTGTATCAGGAACAGCGTGGTGAGTAGGACCCAAGAGGTGATCGTCCCCCTGTACTCGGCACTGGTGAGGCCTCACCTCGAGTACTGTGTCCAGTTTTGGACCTCTTCCCACAAAAAAGACATTGAGGTGCTGCAGCAGGTCCAGAGAAGGGCAGCGAAGCTGGTGAGGGGTCTGGAGAGTAAGTCTTATGAGGAGAGGCTGAAGGAGCTGGGGTTGTTTAGTCTGAAGAAGAGGAGGCTGAGGGGAGACCTTATCGCACTCTATAACTACCTGAAGGGAGGGTGTAGGGAAGAGGGGGTCGGTCTCGTCTCCGAGGTCACAGGCAACAGGACAAGAGGAAACCGCCTCAAGTTGTGCCAGAGGAGGTTTAGACTGGATATTAGGAAACATTTCTTCATGGAAAGGGTTATCCAGCATTGGAATAGGCTGCCCAGGGAAGTGGTGGAGGCACCATCCCTGGAGGTGTTCAAAAGATGGGTTGACATGGTCCTCAGGAATATGGCTTAGTGGTGTGTTGGTTGGTTTTGTGGTGTGTGGTGTGGTTTTTTGTTTGTGTGGGGTGGCTTTTTTTTTGTCAGAGTTAGACTGATGGTTGGACTAGATGATCTTTAAGGTCCCTTCCAACCCAGACGATTCTATGATTCTATGAAACCAAGTACAGGTTGCACCTGCGACATGGCAATCCCAAGCCCCAACAGGTTGGTGGGTGAATAACTGGAGTGCAGCCCTGAGGAGAAGGACTTGGGAGTGCTTGTGGATGGGAAGCTCAACATGAGGTGGCAGCGTGCCACTGGCAGCGCAGAAAGCCAGTCGCATCCTGGGCTGCACGAAAACAAGTGTGGCCAGCAGGTCGTGGGAGCTGATTCTGCCCCTCTGCTCTGCTCTGCTCTGTTCTCGTGAGATCCCACCTGGAGTACTGTCTCCAGCTCTGGACAACTCAGCACGGAAACACCATGGACCTGTTGGACCGGGGCCAGAGGAGGGCCCTAATGATGATCAGAGGGCTGGAGCACCTCTGCTATGAAGACAAGCTGAGAGAGCTGGGGTTGTTCAGCCTGGAGAAGAGAAGGCTCCGGGGACACCTTAGAGCAGCCATCCAGGATCTGAAGGGAGCCTGCAGGAGAACTGGAGAGGGACTCTCTCAGAAAGTGTAGCAACAGGACAAGGGGCAATGGTTTTAAATTGAAAGAGGGGAGATTGAGATTAGACACCAGAAAGAAATTCTTTTCTGTGAGAGTGCTGAGGCACTGGAACAGGCTGCCCAGAGACGGTGTGGATGCCCCGTCCCTGGAAGTGTTCAAGACCAGGCTGGGTGGGGCTTTGAGCAACCTGGTGGAGTGGGAAGTGTCCCTGCCCATGGCAGGGGGTGTGGAAGTCAATGACCTTTAAGGTCCCTTCCACCTCTAACCATACTATGATGTGATGATTCCATGATTCTGGTGTTTTTATCAATGTCCTGGACGAAGGGATCAAGGGCTCCCTCAGTAAGTTTGCAGATGACAGCAATTGTGCAGCAGTGTGGATCTGCTGGAGGGTGGGAAGACTCTGCAGAGGGATCTGGATGGGCTGGATTGATGGTTTGAGGCCAGTGGTCTGGGGTGCAAGAAGGCCAAGTGCTGGGTCTTGCACTTGGGTCACAGCAACCCCATGCACACCTCAGGCTGTGGGAAGAGTGGCTGGAGAGCTTCCTGGCGGAAAAGGACCGGGGAGTGTTGGTCAGCAGCTGGCGGAATATGAGCCAGCAGAGACCCTGGCTCATATTCTTAGTGGAAGAGCAACCTCATCCTGGCCTATAGCAGGAATGGTGTGGCCAGCAGGACTGATGTGATACCACTCCTGCAGTATCAGTTTTGGGCCGCTCACCACAAGAAAGACGCTGAGGTGTTGGATGGTGTCCAGAGAAGGGCAAGGAAGCTGGTGAGGGGTCTGGTGCACAAGCCTTATGAGGAGCGGCTGAGGGAGCTGGGATTGTTGAAATCCCAGGAGGGGAGGAAAGTCCGAGGAGAGACCTTATCACTCCCTCCAAATGCCTGAAAATTGCAAATGGTCTGAAGAGTCTGCAGGGGAGGTTTAGGATGGGTATTAGGACAAATTTCTTCATGGAACCAGTTGCCGTGCATTGGAGCAGGCTGCCCAGGGAAGTGGCTGACTCCCCATCAGTCGTGGGTGGGCCAGACTGGCCTCGGCAACGAATGACAGATGCTCTCCCTGACATTTTCCAGTAACAACAGAGCCAGCCAGCGCCAGTTGCAATGAATTTGTTAGATGCATTTATTGTGCTAGTTAAATAGTCACTAGGGCACACTGTTTGGTTGGTTTGTTCGCATGGTTGGTTGTGTTTACAGCACAGCTTTACTGGGAGAAGCAGGTGGTGGGGCAGGGAGAGGTGCCCACACAACAGGCCCTGCCACCAGCAGGGGCACCCCCGTGCTGACACCCCCTCTCCTTCTGTCACTCCAGGCGGGTGAAGACATTGGTGCCGACCCTGCAGGGACACAGAAAGAGGAGGCGTGAAGGTGGGAAATGCACCCTTGCACAGGGCACATGCACCTTCCCAGCCCCATCCCACCCCCCAGCAGCGTTTGCACTTCGACAGGACCCCTGGGGTGGGCATGCACGTGTCCCCCATCCTTGATCAGCCCACACTCGCATCAGCTCTTTCAGGGGCTGAGCACCGTGGCGTGGGAGACCCCTGCTCTCCCAGGGATGTGCAGGGGACCTGAGTGGGGCAGGGACAGGAGGCTCACCTGGTGGCTTTCCAGTCATCCTTCATGTTGTCCACATGGTACCGCAGGAGCCACATGGTCTTCAAAACCTCCTTTCCATTCTCATCCACAAAGCACTGGCCCGTGAAGACGGTGATGGAGTCTGCGGGGACAGGGCAGGAGGTGGAGGGGAGCACGGTCAGTGCTGAGCCGTGGCCCTGCAGGCTGCCCCAGTGCAGGGGAGAGTCGACCTGGGCTGTCCCTACCCTCTGTGGACACAGCGGTGATGGGGAAAGCGGGCAGGAGGGGTCAGAGAGGGGAGGTGTGACAAGGAGATGGGGAGAGAGCAGTGGGCTTCAGCCCCCAGCCTGTCCTCTGTGCTCTGTGTCTGGGAGATGGCAGCAGCCAAGGAGCTCTGGCGTCAGGGATGAGGGAGCATCAATCAGGGACACCACAGCGGATGGGAGAGCACGGGGGATGGAGGTGCATTGGGAAACTACTGGGGAAGGTAGGGGATCATCAAGGGCATCACAGAGGAGAAGAGAAGAGCACCAGGGACATCACATGGGAGGGCAGGGGACCACTCGGAACGTGTCAGGAAGGGTAGGAAAGCTCTGCAGACATAAAAGAGAGGGCAGAGAAACTCTGGGGACATCAGAGAGAGGGTGGGGAGGTCTGGGGAGAGCACAGAGAGGGCAGGGGACCATGGGGGACATCCAAGAGAGGGCAGGGAAGCTCTGCACACAACACAGTGGAGCACAGGGCAGGTCTGGGGACAGCACAGGCAAGGCAGGGGAAAGGAGAAACACCTGTAAAGTTCCATTGGACGGTGAAACCAAAGGTGGGCTGCCTGCTCTCGGTCACGACGTGCTGAAACCCCACCAGTGGTGACGGCTGGATCGGCTTGCTTGTGTCACTCACTGCCGTGTTGTAGGTGCCAGTGAATTTGCCACCTTCATCCAGAGTCTCGATGGTCATGTTGGAGCCCAGGTCATTTTTCCAGTCCCCGGTCAGCACACACTGGAGCAGAGGAGACTCAGCGTTGGTGTCACAGCACAGCCCAGGTGCGGGCAGGGTGGCAGGAGTGGGCAGCCCCGGGAGCTGCAGCCCCCCTGACCACCCTGCCCCCTTCATCCCAGCCCTGCCCTTACCTTTCTTGCGCAGAGGCCGGGAGCCACCAGGGCCAGGCTGAGCAGCAGGAGGAAGGGAGTCGCTTGCACCATCTCTGCAGCGGGCAGACAGCTGGGGTGCCTGGGGACGTGCTCCTCGCAGGGCTCTGACGGTGTGCCTCTGCCCTCACCTTTTTATAGCTGCCGGGGCAGCCGGTGGCAGCTCTGGACAGGGCGTTGTGCAATCTGGGTGTTTCCAAATTGGCTGATCCTGGCTGTAGGAGAGAGTGTGGGGAGGATTGTCAAGGAGGCGACTGTCCCAGCCGCAAGGTCAGCTCCCCAAAGCCAGGCAGGTGCTGCCTTCAAAGGAAGTGCTGACAGAAAAAGCAGGAGAAGGAAGCAAAGGGGCTGGCCACAGGCAAGTTGGGACACAATTCCACCAATGGCCTGGGGCACTGCTGCTCCCTACAAAGGTGATTTCACCTGGTAATGATATTAATCAGTGACATCCGAGGGTGGCACCCTGGTTTGGTGTCCAGTGTGCCGAAATTTAATGGGGACGCCTGTAGGATGGTCTCTGCACCACCCTCAACTCCTCACTCTGATGGCTTGCTGATTCCCACAAGATACCCTGGATTTCAGCACCTGACGGTAATCACGAACCAAGTCTCAGGACGGGTAGCTTTTCCCACCAGGAATGCTAATACTGCAGGAGTGGTATCACATCAGTCCTGCTGGCCACACCATTCCTGCTATAGGCCAGGATGAGGTTGCCCTTCCACTAAAAATATGAGCCAGGGTCTCTGCTGGCTCATATTCCTCTGGCTGCTGACCAACAGTCCCTGGTCCTTTTCCGCCAGGAAGCTCTCCAGCCACTCTTCCCACAGCCTGAGGTGTGCATGGGGTTGCTGTGACCTAAGTGCAGGACTTGGCACTTAGCCTTCTTAAAGCCCAGACCACTGGACTCGGACCATCAATCCAGCCCATCCAGATCCCTCTGCAGAGCCTTCTCACCCTCCAGCAGATCCACACTGCTGCACAATTGCTGTCATCTGCAAACTTACTGAGGGAGCCCTTGATCCCCTCGTCCATGAGCTTGATAAAGAAATTAAGGAGAAAAGGCCGCAAGAGTGAGCCCTGGGGAACACCACTTGGGACCAGCTACCAACTGGATTTAACACCATTCACCCCCACCCTTTTGGCCTGGCCATCCAGCCAATTGTTTACGCACCAAAGCGTACGCTTGTATCCATGCCGTGAGCAGCTGGTTTCTCTCAGAGTATGCTGCAGGAAACGGATTGATGGATTGATGGTCCAAGTCCAGTGGTCTGGGCTTTAAGAAGGCTAAGTGCCAAGTCCTGCACTTAGGTCACAGCAACCCCATGCACACCTCAGGCTGTGGGAAGAGTGGCTGGAGAGCTTCCTGGTGGAAAAGGACCAGGGAGTGTTGATCAGCAGCCAGAGGAATATGAGCCAGCAGAGACCCTGGCTCATATTCTTAGTGGAAGGGCAACCTCATCCTGGCCTATAGCAGGAATGGTGTGGCCAGCAGGACTGATGTGATACCACTCCTGCAGTATCAGTTTTGGGCCGCTCACCACAAGAAAGACGCTGAGGTGTTGGATGGTGTCCAGAGAAGGGCAAGGAAGCTGGTGAGGGGTTTGGTGCACACATCTTGTAAGGAGAGGGTGGGGGAACTGGGTCTGTTGAACCTGGGGGAGGAAAGTCCGAGGAGAGACCTTATCACTCCCTCCAAATGCCTGAAAATTGCAAATGGTCTGAAGAGTCTGCAGGGGAGGTTTAGGATGGGTATTAGGACAAATTTCTTCATGGAACCACTTGCCGTGCATTGGAGCAGGCTGCCCAGGGAAGTGGCTGACTCCCCATCAGTCGTGGGTGGGCCAGACTGGCCTCGGCAACGAATGACAGATGCTCTCCCTGACATTTTCCAGAAGGTATTTACAAGATGTGTAGATGTGGTGTTTAGGGACACGCTTTAGTAGTGGACATGTCATGGTTAGGCTAACAGTTGAACTTGATGATTTCCAAGGTATTTTCCAACCTTCATGATTCTAGGCTTCTACGGTTCTCTGGTTCTCTTCAGTCTTTCCACCTGTCCTGAGGATTGTGGGTGATACTGGTCTCAAGAGTGAGCCCTGGGGAACACCAGCCAGGACCAGCCCCACCAGGTGTATTTAACTCCGTTTACCACATCCCTTTTGGCCCAGCCATCCAGCCAATTTTTTACTCACTGAAGCGTACATCCATCCAAGCCATGAACAGTCAGCTTCTCCCAGAGTATGCTGTGGTAAACAGTGAAAGGCTTTGCTAAAGTCCAGGTACACAACATCCACAGCCTTTCCCTTGTCCTCTAAGTGTGCCACCTTGTAGTAGAATAGGTGTCTTCCAAATAAAATTGCTCGAACTTGTAGTCAAGTAGGATTGAAATGGCCCGAATTTTTAGGAATAGCACTATGGGATATTACTAATAGGCCTCAACAATGTCTAGGGTTGTCACCAGCAGAACCGGTGTCTGGCAGGCACTTGGCTGTACCTGGGACTTTTATCCCCACTCGGACCAGCCTCGTAGGTGGAGATGAACGCGTTCCAAGTTTCTTTAGGGGATACAAAAAACATCTACAAGTAAATAGGGCACAAACCAGATGGGTTCAACCAGTACCCACTGGAACGCAAGTACAGGATATCCAGCCTGGAGATAAGATAGAAGGATAAAATTCCACTCTTGCCAAAGTAATTTGCACCCTCAATTGAGTGGGGGCATACACTGTGTCATTAACTTCTTCCTTCGCTGTTATGCTTGCAGAGCAGGATTCACAACTAATGTTAAATTTGCCCAAAGAACATCAGTTAGGTTGACCATTATTGACTCTGCAAGACTCATTGGAATCCAAGAACAAATTCTTCAAGGACTCGAAAAAGCACTAAACAGCAAACGAAGGAATTCCTAACACAGGGAAAACTGCTAGGATGTTCTCTTTCAGCAAGAACTCCGGCCTCGCCACTACTAGTGTAGGCGAGTACGCCATCAGACCAGAAATGGTCTTAGGAAAGGTCTTAGGAAAGGGGTTCCATCCCTGGAAGCGCTCAAGGGGGAGGGGGCTGGAGGGGGCTTTGAGCAAGCTGGTCTGGTGGGAGGTGTCCATGCCCATGGCAGGGGGGATGTAACTTGCTGATTATTAAGGTCCCTTCCAACCCTAACCATTCTATGCTTCTATGCTTCTAGTATCTTTATCGATGTCCCGGAGGAAGGGAGGGCGTGCACCCTGAGGAAGCTTGCAGATGACAGCAATTGTTCAGGAGTGTGGATGTGCTGGAGGGTGGGAAGGCTCTGCAGAGGGATCTGGACAGGCTGGACTGACGGTGCGAGGCCAATGGTGTGAGGTTCAACAAGGCCAAGTGCTGGGTCCTGCACTTGGGTCACCACAAGCCCATGAAGGCCTCAGACTGTGGGAAGAGTGGCTGGAGAGCTGCCTGGTGGAGAAGGACCTGGTCAGCAGCCAACTGAATATGAGCCAGCAGTGAGACCAGGTGGCCAGGAAGGGCAATAGCAACCTGGCCTGTAAGCGGAATGGGGTGGCCAGCAGGACTGGGGAAGTGACCATCACACCATACTGGGCCCTGGTGAGGCCCCACCATCATTGCTGTGTTCAGTTTTGGGCCGCTCACCACAAGAAAGATGCTGAGGTGCTGGATGGTGTCCAGAAAAGGGCAATGAAGCTGGTGAGGAGTACAAGTGTGTACAAGTCTGGTGTACAAGTCTTATGAGGGGAGACTGAGGGAGCTGGTGCTCTTGAGTCTAGAGAAAAAGAGTCTGAGGGCAGACCTTATCCCTCCTTACAAATGCCTGAAAAGAGGAAACAGCCTCGAGAGTCAACAGGGGAGGTTTAGCATGGCTATTAGGACAAATTTCTTCATGGAACTAGTTGCCATGCATTGGAACAGGTCGCCCAGGGTTGGTGGCCCGGGGAAGTGGTTGACTCCCCATCTGTCATGGTTGGTCCAGACTGGCCTCAGAAACGAATGACAGATGCTCTCCCCGACCTTTTCGGGAAGATATTTTCCCGGAAGGTATTTACAGGATGTGTAGATGACGTGTTTAGGGACACGGCTTGTCAGGGTTAGCTTAACGGCTGAACTTGGTGATTTTCAAGGCATTTTCCAACTTCAATGATTCCAGGGTTCTACGGTTCTCTGGTTGTCTTCAGTCTTTCCACCTGTCCTGATGACTGTGGATGATACGGAACATGTAGTTGTTCATAAACTTCTATGGATACTGTTTAGTGGTCCTGCTGAAAAAATGAGAACCCTGTTGGATTCTGTAGTTTCAGATATCCCATGTCTGGGAATGATTTCCCACAAGAGTGCTTTGACCACTCCGGCACTATCAGCTCTCTTAGTGGGAAAAGCAACCCATCCCAAGACTTGGTCCACGATTGCCAGCAGGTGCTTAAATCGCTGGTATCTTGTCGGCAATCAGCAAGCCATCAGAGGGAGGAGTTGATGGTGGTGCAGAGAACATTCTGTAAGTGTCTCCATTAAATTACTTACAATTTTCAGTTTTCACAGTCTCCTGGAGGACAGCCCATGCCTTTAAGTTGAAGGATCCTTTTTAGGGACATACCCTGGCTTGTTATGTGCTGGCCAGTTAGCATTTTGCCCCCTTTTTTTTTTTTTTTTTTGTACATAGATATTTAATACCATCTGATTTCTTCCAGTTTTAGAAACCCTCAACTAAAGCCATCCCCTTCTCTATGCTGCCTTTAATGCGGGTGAAGCGAAGACGTTTAATGTTTTATTTTTACAGCATATATAGTTTCTCTCTTTTGATCAGGCGTTGTGCTCTCTACACAGATAGGTTGTGGGGGCCTGTGCACGGGCTGTTGTGAGGAATACAATTGGCTACATATAAGCATTCATGCACCTGGGCTAATTAGTCATTATCGTTTGTTTTGTTATATTGTTATCTAATTGCTAGCTTGCTATCTATTTTGTTGCCTTCACATTACCATATAAGGACATTGTTTACTGTTCTCAAGGCTTCCTTCACATCACTGCAAGAACATCTGCTGAGCGCTCAGCAGCACGTCTCCACAATTCCCCACTCACCACAGGCCACCAAACCAGGATGCCACTGATTAATATCATTACCAGGTGAAATCACCTTTGTAGGGAGCAGCAGTGCCCCAGGCCATTGGTGGAATTGTGTCCCAACTTGCCTGTGGCCAGCCCCTTTACTTCCTTCTCCTGCTTTTTCTGTCAGCACTTCCTTTGAAGGCAGCACCTGCCTGGCTTTGGGGAGCTGACCTTGCGGCTGGGACAGTTGCCTCCTTGACAATCCTCCCCACACTCTCTCCTACAGCCAGGATCAGCCAATTTGGAAACACCCAGATTGCACAACGCCCTGTCCAGAGCTGCCACCGGCTGCCCCAGCAGCTATAAAAAGGTGAGGGCAGAGGCACATCGTCAGAGCCCTGCGAGGAGCACGTCCCCAGGCACCCCAGCTGTCTGCCCGCTGCAGAGATGGTGCAAGCGACTCCCTTCCTCCTGCTGCTCAGCCTGGCCCTGGTGGCTCCCGGCCTCTGCGCAAGAAAGGTAAGGGCAGGGCTGGGATGAAGGGGGCAGGGTGGTCAGGGGGGCTGCAGCTCCCGGGGCTGCCCACTCCTGCCACCCTGCCCGCACCTGGGCTGTGCTGTGACACCAACGCTGAGTCTCCTCTGCTCCAGTGTGTGCTGACCGGGGACTGGAAAAATGACCTGGGCTCCAACATGACCATCGTGCCGATAAATGGAAAAGGCGAATTCACCGGCTCCTACCACACGGCCGTGAGCTCCACGACAAACGAGATCCAGCTGTCACCACTGGTGGGGTTCCAGAACAGCACCACCCAGAACAAAAGAACATTACAGGTGTTTCTCCTTTCCCCTGCCTTGCCTGTGCTGTCCCCAGACCTGCCCTGTGCTCCACTGTGTTGTGTGCAGAGCTTCCCTGCCCTCTCTTGGATGTCCCCCATGGTCCCCTGCCCTCTCTGTGCTCTCCCACCCTCTCTCTGATGTCCCCAGAGTTCCTCTGCCGTCCTTGTTATGTCTACAGAGCTTTCCTGCCCTCCCTGACATGTTCCAAGTGATCCCCTGCCCTCCCATGTGATGTCCCTGGTGCTCTTCTCTCCTCCTCTGTGATGTCCTTGATGATCCCCTACCTTCCTCAGTGGTTTCCTGATGCACCCCCATCCCCAGTGGGACCCCCTGTGGTGTCCCTGACACTCCCCCATCCCTGACGCCAGAGCTCCAGGGCTGCTCTCAGCTCCCAGACGCAGAGCACAGAAGACAGGCTGGGGGCTGAAGCCCACTGCTCTCTCCCCATCTCCTGGTCACACCTCCCCTCTCTGACCCCTCCTGCCCGCTTTCCCCATCACCGCTGTGTCCACAGAGGGTAGGGACAGCCCGGGTCTACTCTCCCCTGCACTGGGGCAGCCTGCAGGGCCACGGCTCAGCACTGACCGTGCTCCCCTCCACCTCCTGCCCTGTCCCCGCAGACTCCATCACCGTCTTCACGGGCCAGTGCTTTGTGGATGACGATGGAAAGGAGGTTTTGAAGACCATGTGGCTCCTGCGGTCCCGTGTGGGCAACATGAAGGATGACTGGAAAGCCACCAGGTGAGTCCCCTGTCCCTGCCCCACTCAGGTGCCCTGCGCATCCCTGGGAGAGCAGGGGGTCTCCCACCCCACAGTGCTCAGTGCCAGCAGAGCTGACACCACTGTGGGGGTCACCAAGGATGGGGGACACATGCACGGGGGGTCCTGTCGAGGTGCAAATGCTGCTGGGGGGTGGGATGGGGCTGGGTGGACATTCGGCACTGGGAGGGTGCGTGTGCCCTGTGCAAGGGTGCCTTTCCCACCCTCACGCCTCCTCTCTCTGTGTCCCCGCAGGGTCGGCACCAATGTCTTCACCCGCCTGGAGTGACAGAAGGAGAGGGGGTGTCAGCACAGGGGTGCCTCTGCTGGTGGCAGGGCCTGTTGTGTGGGCACCTCTCCCTGCCCCACCACCTGCTTCTCCCAGTAAAGCTGTGCTGTAAACACCCACCAGGCTACCGTCCTGTCGTGGCTTTGAATATTCATAAACTTTGAGAGACAGCACCTGAGGTTGATGCTGCATGGATGTTCCAACATAACCACATCAGCCGTGACGTTATCGTATCATCAGTTGGTATAACACAGGAGAGCAAAACGATAATCCCCATCCTTATTCCAGGGGTGATAAAGAGCATGGCAGGGGTTATCCAGTGCATGGAAGGATTCACCCAACACAACCATGCGAACAAACCAACCAAACGGTGTGCCCTAGCGACTATTTAACTAGCACAATAAATGCATCTAACAAATTCATTGCAACTGGCGCTGGCTGGCTCTGTTGTTACCTCCACCCTTCATGCCCCATGTTTGGTGCTAGAAAGGGCTGTCGTGGTTTAGCCCCAGCAGCAACACAGAACCATGAGGGCCTTTCCCTCCCCCCCAACCCACCCCACATCCTGGCGGGATGGGGGCAGAACAGGAAAAAAAAGGCAAACTCATGAGTTGAGGTAAAGACAGTTTAACATTACAACAAATGAAGGGGAGAAACCACAACAATAATAATGGTCGAGGAATATACAAACTATAATTAATGTACAAACAATCTCCAGGGGGAACACGGAAAGCCCAGCCTGCTCCAGAGAGGAGATTCCAGCCCCCCGCCCTCCCCAGAGAACTCCCCCATTGATTTACTGAGCATGACTCACATGGTATCAAATACACCTTTGGCTGTTTTGGGTGTAAATTAACCCTATACCCACTGGAACCAGGACAACCCTACCTGTGTCCCATTCCAGCTTCTTGTCAAAATTAGCCCTTTCCACACCAGAACCAGGACACCGAGTAGCCATTACGGGTGATGGAGCCCTGCTTCTCTGGGGGTGGCTGAACACCGGCCTTCCCATGGGAAGCCGTGAGCTAATGCCTTGTTTTGTTTTGCTTGCGTGCACAGCTTTTCTTTAACTATTAACCTGTTTTTATCTCAACCCATGGGTTTTCTCACTTTTACTCTCCAGATTCTCTCCCTTCCATCACAGGGGAGTGGCTGAGTGTCTGGGTGGCTCTTAGTTGCCAGCTGGGGTGAAACCACGACAACCAAGAAGATGCTAACATTTGGCTAGGTGATTTCATAGTAAAACACGTTGGGGAAAGACAGCAGTTGTTAACCAAGTTGAGGAAATACGGGCAGCCCTCAGAACAGAGATGGTAGTAAAAAGGACAGTGAGTTCTTGCCCCTCATGTTGGTTTCTGCTGCAAAACCCAAACAGGAGGTTGGAGGATAACCATGGGCATACTTCCCATTCCAAAGACTGCAAATTGCTTCTGCTTTCATGCCTCCCGTGAGCAGATTGCAGGACCTGCTGGTAATCATGGACCTAGTTTCAGGACGGGTTGCTTTTCTCACTAGGAAAGCTGATACTGCAGGAGTGGTCAAAGGACTCTTCTGGGAAAGCATTCCCAGATATGGGATATCTGAAATGATAGAATCCAACAGGGTTCTCATTTTTTCAGCAGGACTACTAAACAGTATCGACAGAAGTTTATGAACAATTACATATATTTCCCTGGGCAGCCTGTTCCAATGCATAGTAATTCTTTTATGAAGAAATTTGTCCAAATACCCATCCTAAATCTCCCCTGCTGACTCCTGAGGCCGTTTCCATTTTTCAGGCATTTGTAGGGATTGATAAGGTCTTCCCTCAGACTCCTTTTCTCCAGACTCACAAGCCCAGTTCCCTCAGCTGCTCTCCGTAAGGCTTGTGCTCCAGACCCCTCACCAGCTTCATTGCCCTTCTCTGGACACGATCCAGCACCTCAATGTCTTTCTTGTAGTGGGCGGCCCAAAACTGAATACAGTATATGAACTGTGGCCACACTAGGGTGCAGTACGTTGTCATGGTCACTTCCACAGTCCTGCTGGACACCCCATTCCTAATGCAAGTCAGGGTGCTATTGCTGTTGTTGGCCACCTGGTCTTGCTGCTGGCTCATATTCAGCTGGCTGTTGAACAGCACCCCCAGGTCCTTTTCCACCAGGCAGCTCTCCAGCCACTCTTCCCTCAGCCAGAGGTGTCCATGGGGTTGTTGTGACCCAAGTGCAGAACCCGGCACTTGGCCTTGTTGAAAATCAGACCGCTGGCCTTGGATCATCAATCCAGCCCATCCAGATCCTTCTGCAGAGCCTTCCCATCCTCCATCAAATCAGCACTTCTGCATAATTGGTGGCATCTGCAAATGTACTGACGGTGCATTTGATCCCTTCATCCAGAACCAGCAGGTGTCCAGGGTCTCTGCGAGTGGGGAGAGATCAGAGAAGGACAGAGTGGGGGCAGG